GCACTTTGGTTTGGCCCAGTGGCTTCAGAGCTCAGTGACCTGGTGGGAATCCTGCCTCTGCCTTTCCTCAATTACTTTTTCATTCAAACCCTTCCTTTTTTTTTTAAATTAAGGTAGCATTGATTTACAATCTTATGAAGGTTTCACATGAGCAACATTGTGATTTCAACATTCACCCATATTATCAAGTTCCCCCACCCCCACCGCACATACCCCATGGCAGTCACTGTCCATCAGCCTATAAGATGCAATAGAGTCACTAGTTGTCTTCTCTGTGCTATACTGCCTTCCCTGTGAACCCCCTCCATTATGTGTGCTAATCATAATGCCCCTTAATCCCCTTCTCCCTCATCTTCCGCCTGCCCTCCCCAACCCCTCCCCTTTGGTAACTGTTTAGTCCCTTCTTGGAGTCTGTTGAGTCTGTGTTGTTTTGTTCCTTCAGTTTTGCTTTGTCAAACCCTTCCTTTTTGTAACAGTACTTATTTCATGGGATTAGATGAGAATATTCATAAAATGCTAAACAGGTATTATGCATCTGGAGCACAGTAATGCTCAGTAAATGGTAGTCACTTATTATAATCCTTACCCTGCTGGGTATAACCTTTCCCTATTCACCAAGAGGTGTTTGTTTTGAGAAGTCTCCTAGCTGGCTTCTGGCTCTGAGTTTTCTTTGAAAACAATGAGTGTTTTAAGCATGTTTTCATCCTGAATGAACCAAATCCAAATCCCTCCACATTAAAAAAAAAAAAATTGAACTCAAGAAAAAACAAACTCAAGAAGCAATTTTCACACTTCATCTCTCTGTTAACATCCAATAGGCATTTTGGGGATTAGAAAGTTAACACATCATATTGGAGACTAAAATGTAAACTCTTCTAATGTGGTGTAAAACACATTGGTCTGAAAATTTCCAAATTAGTCCAATGCCATTTCATTATAGTTATACTAATAGCCATACTTCTTTTTTGACAAATAGCCTTAGACAATTTTTCCCCCAACTTTTTCAGTATCAGACATTCATGGTCTTTCCAGGCTCCAGTTTCAGGGTTGTAAGGCCCTCCACGGCTCATTCCCTTACCACATGATACACCCCAGCCTCCTTCCCTCTTCTCTGGTTACCAATTAGAAGAGGGGAATGACCAAGAGCTTTGGCTATAGAGTTAGACCAGCTCAACAATCAGTTGTGTGACCCTGGGCAAATTACCTACAAGCTCTGTGACTTAATTTCCCCATGTTTACAATAGAGATAGTTACAATATCTACTTCTAAAAGATTGTGTTCAGAATCAAATAAAGTAATACATACAAAGAGTTAATAACATAGGAACTGGCATTTAGTAAGAGCTCAACAAATACGGTTTTTTAAACATCTTGTTAGTTGGGGAGAGTGGTCCAGTAGACCTGCATGTAGCATTTCCCTGCAGCAAATATACCAAGTTTCCTCCTAACACACAATGTGTTAAAAACAAAAGGATCTGACATATTATGAATATTTTTCCTAAGGCTTTGCAACTGGTCTGATGCCTTCAGCCCTAGATTCTAGGTAAGTACCTAATTACATAACTAATATAAGGTGACTTTAAAGATCCAGGAACACTGTGGGCACCTCTACCATGGCTGGGGAGAATGCTGGACTGTGGAGGAAAGGTGTGCATGGGGGAGAATTAACAGGAGCATGGTCTGTGAGGGCCAGATCCTGTAGTAGCTTGATGTTCCTTGGGCTGCCCCACACATCTTCCTGCAGTTTACCAGGAATATTAACCTTCTTCAACTCGCAGTTGATTGCTCAACTCCCCTTTCCATGGGACACCTCCTGGCTGGGAACACAACACTAACTGCTTCATCTTTAAGAACGAATAAGGATCTCTGGCCAGAGTCTAAAGGAAACGTCCTTTTTCCTTTATTTATTTTTTAAGGCATAAAAAATAGAAATAGTTGAGAATAATGCTTAAAGAGTTCAGGATGCACACAAACTCTAGGTTTGAATCTTGGCTTCAATATTTTTTAGCCATGTGACCTTCAGCAAGTTGCTTATCTTTCTCAGCCTCTATTTCTTTAACTGGAGGAAGATGTAATAAGTGCTTACTACATAGGATTATTGTGAGGGGTAAAAAAAGATAATGATGTTAGGTAATTGGACAAGTGTTTGGCATATAATAAGTGTTTAATAATGATAACTAGCAGTAGTAGCTTTGGTATCATTAATAAATGAATTTTGCTGCTTTGTCACACTCTCTCTAGATTTTGGGGGACAGTACACTCATGATGAAATCTAAGTTCATCTGTTGCCAACAGATTTCCTTAGCCAAGTACATAGAAAGCAATAGGCTGGTTAGGTTAGGGCAAAGTTTAAAATATCAAAATGGCCCCATCTAATTGTCCAGGTCGATGAAATTATTCCTAGCTTAAAGATTTTCAAGCCAGTGTTCCAACAGCCCTTCAGATGAATACTTATTATTACTACTGCATTCATATTTTTGTCCAGGAATCAATCAAATTAAACAATCACTTGAGTAATTGTTCCATGTCAGGCACTTCACTAAGCACTAAAGATTTAGAGATGTATAAAATATATATTCTTTTGTGTGAGGAAGTAACAATTTAGTTGTTTTCCTTTTACCTACAAAATATCCCAGAATTATCTTTTCTACTCTATCTTTCCCCATCTCCTTTAAGATGCTTATTAATCTGGTTCTGGGAGAGAACTTCTCTCTCTTGTACTTATTACCACTCACTTAACTTTGGTCTTCTTTGGCTCTTACACAATTCAACCATATCAATTTCCAATGTTCTCCGTTTAATGCATATGAAACTCTCTTAAGAAATTTCCTTTTTTTCTTTCTGCCTTCTAATTCTCTTTCTTCCATAGCATCGACATTGAGCACCAGATCACTGAATTCTGCATAGAAAATGCCATTTCTATTTTTGCTTTTGGTCTTGGAAAATCTGGAATCACTGTCGTCCACTAGCACCCTTTCTTGAAGAGGACAGGGCAGCTGCTCAGCACATCTACAGCTCAACAGCCATGCAGGAGGGGAAGCAGAAAGGATTTTGCCCCCTATCATCCTAAATGAGAAATTTACATCTTATCCTTGCTTAAATGGAGGTAGAATAGTGTCTATTAACTCTACAAGGATACTCACACTTTGGAAAAATATCCTGATTTCTCAGAAACCACATATTTGGGATCTCTTTTCACCACAGAACACCAGAATTATTGTTCTTATTATGGCAATGCTAATGGGATCACTGGGACTATTCTCACATTGAAGCGTAATTATGAGGGTATGGACCAATCAGTAGCAACATTCCTCATCTGAAATTGTACTTCTTATATCTGACCACTCCCATTTCTTCATAGTCTTACAAAAATGTTAAAGAAAGAGACCAAAACAACCTCAGTATATAGGAAAATATCCTCTACCCTTAAATAACTGCACATGTGTAGGGGTGGGTGAGCAAGGCTGAGGCATAACAAGAGGCTTAACTGCATATGGGTGCATGTGGGTGTACACATCTGTGTATGAATCAGAACCTTCCCAAAGGGAGGAAAATGCTTAATCTTATCAGTGAAAGTGGTAAAAGAGGTAACAGGCTCTGGGGCTATTTACAGACCTAAATTGGCATGTGCTATACATATTGAGTACTTTGCTGATCTCATCTTTAAGAACAATTGAGATAAAGGAGAGGCAAAGAAAAGGTAATCAGTGATTCAGATCAGGTCAATATATATATATTTTAATATTATTATCTTTCTTTAACTGTAGATGCCTGGAAAACCTCCCAGAGCCAAAGAACTAGACAAAATGGGATTCCATTTTGAAATAGAATAGAGATAACATGATCACTGAAGTTTGGGTGTAGAGGTGAAGAGTATTATTTGAATACTGTACTGATTTTATTTTATTTCAAGGGTGTTCTCCAGTGTCACTATCGCTCAGGTGTCAAAATGTCTCTGTGCCACTGCATGGAACATGAGGTCATCCAGAGAAACTGATCTGTGGGCAACAGGACAAAATAAGCCTTCAAGGAACCTGGAGAGACAATACAAATATGTCCAGACCACCTTTCTCTGAGAAGAAGGTAAAGCCCGCTACCAAAGACAGCAGAAGAAACTCTCACCCTCTGAAGTAAGGACAGTAACATGCCATTGCCCAGTCACCTCCAGGCCCTCTCTGGAATAAGGCCAATGTGTTGTCTAGAGATGCAGCCATACTGGGGCCTCTTGCCCTGTAGAGTGCAGTTAAGGGTTTGGAGTGGCCTGCCCTGGCGCTCTCAGGGGCACCCGGGCTCCTCTGCTTCAAGGCCTCCCGCTGGGACACACTGCAGCAGTCAGTTCCTCCTGGACTCCACACACTAGTCACTCCCACTTCCAGTCCAGAGCCTTGAAGGGTCTTCTGTGGTTGTTAAGAGAAGGGTGGACTCTGTGAGGCACTAGAGAAACTGCAAACTATACCTTTACAGAAAGGCACACTCTGTCTCTTCCTCCATAATTTATTTCCTCATCAATGATATGAGAGTATCAACCTGTCACATCTACTTCACAGAGTGAAAGTACTGCCTGATGAAAAACCTGTAGAAAGGCAAGGCATTATTATTGCCATTGCAGTTATTTTTATTATTACACATTCCCTAGGCCCACAGCTTCCTATAACACAAAACAACAAAACATCTACTCAATATGTCTCAAAAGCTGGCCCACAGCCTGCTGAAGAGATGGCTGCAAGCTGGCCATCAGCCAGCGGTGTGACGACCCCGCCTCCGACCCCCACCCCTTAGGTCCGTTCTATGAACAGAACTGCTCAGCAAGAGATGTACAACATACACCACTTCCTATAGCTGTTCAACTTGACCACTGGGGATGGGTTTACAGCACAGGTAAATGACAATCGTATTCTAAGGGAGCAGGAAGCAGAAATGGTGCTTAGAGGAGTTAAGGTCCCACAGGAGGTCCCCCGGGAAGCGGGAGGATTGTTAGGTGGGCAAAGGAATCGGACTCACCTATGATGATACCGCAAGCACTGACCAATCCAATCTCTTTCTTCAGGGCTACTCCGCCCCCTCCGGAACCAGTCTCTCCGCTGACCTCCGACTGGCTCCCACCGGAGTGGCTCTTCTCAGTGGTGTTTCGGTGCCTGGCCCCTTTTTCCATCTTTCTCAGTATTTTAACCTCTGAAAGGTATCTCTCTTCTAAATGCGTACAGTGCCAATCTATTTATACAGACTTCCAAATTAAAACGTCCTTTTCCGAAATGAGGACCACTTCCTACCGTCTTAAAAAAAATCCCAAGCAAATCAAAGAAAAAACGGAAGATACCCCTACTTCGTATTAAGGACACTCTTGTCACTCGTGCTTAGGAACAAGGAAAGTGTGGTTAAAAGCCGAGGGAAGGAGACATAGATATTTAGATATAAAAATAGAACTGTACAGCTACGCCAGCTGGAATTCTGAAGGCGATGTGGATCTTCAGAAACCAGAATGGTACTGCACTCTGTACCAGGCAGTGGCTTATTTCAGACGCTAGTCTGGATCGCCCTCGGCTCTCCCCCTAAGAAAACAGAGTCTTTACCTCCCCTTATCCTTTTCTTTTATGATGAGGATAAAAGTAGTTTTCGTTAACTGAAGGGGAAACAGGCAATCCTCCGGTCGGTTCTTCTCTTCCAGAAAAACAACTGTGGACCCGACCGGTTTGCTCTAGATCTTGTTGCCACCTGCTGCTGTGGGTTTCTTTTTTTTTTCCCCCCTCCCGATCTTTTGCCTTTCGCTTTCTCCAGATGTCCTGCTCTGTCCCGCTAGTCGCCTGTCCTTGTTTTCCTTCTTGCGATCTGCGTCCTCACGGCCCAGACTGCCCCATCTTTCTGGGTTACAAGAGAGTGGCTCTGCGCACACGGACGCGCTTCCCTTTCAGCGAGGGGTTTTATGTGCTGAGCTGGCTCTGGCTCCGCCCCCACTCCCGCGTTGCTCTCCATCTTCACTCCGTCTCCTTCCTCCTCTTAGATTTAAATATTAGCAAGTAGCCTCCGACGATCACCGAGAAGATGGACTAAAATATCTCTTTGTAATCATCTCTCTTTTTCCATCTTTCTCGGAAGAAATGCAAGTAAAATCCTTCCCGGTCAACTGTTGCGGGGGAGTACAGAAGCTACTATAGTGTTATACAGGTCACACAGCATTTGTGAGCTTTGTAAGGGACGCAGGGTGCAGACACCTTCAGTGCCATCAGAAACACACCGGTGACAGTGTTAAAATATTCCTGGGTCATTTAAGGATACAGGAGAGAAGGTTGTAGAGACATCATGATCAAGTTTCTGGAGGAAATACGCAGGTCGTGGAGGGGAATGGGAAGAAAAGAATTAAGAAAAATGGAAAAGAAATGCACTGTGTATAATTGTGAGCTGTGAAGAATATAGTGGAGGCACAATCACCAGGAAGAGGTGGTAGCCTTACGATTCACAGCTCCTTTTTAGTGTTAATTGAGACGGAACAAAAATGACTCCCACCCTGGTCCCAGGAAAGAATGACACAGTCTGGTGGAGTGGGGCCTTCCACAGCTTCTAATATTTTCTGCAATCTGTAAGTTATTTGAGAGTCAGACAGTGAGGGAGGGGGGAGTTATTGGCACCGCTGTGATCATGGAGCCGATTGTTGATGTAAAGAGACAACTAACTTATTACCTTGCTCATACTGTGTCTTGGCTTCCCTGAAGACTTTTCACCCAGAAGCTTCTGCCTTACCTGAGAGAGCAATCATGTCTATTTATAATCGAAAGACACTTTGGAGAAACAATAAGAAGCAATATAGCAGACAATACTATAAATCTAAAATAAAATTACCTTGAATCTGTATTAAATATATTATGCGAAAGTACTTGATTTTAGAATGAGTTGAAGAGATTAAGTTCCCCAAGCTGACCATTAGATACAGGACTTTGGCCTCATTCGGAAAATCTTCCAAAAGATTTTGCATTTTGAAGAAAATGCATAATCAATTCCTTAAAATGGGAGTGGTTGAGCTATTGTAGCAAGGCATTTCCAGGTGGAGTAAAGTCCAATTAACAAGCAGCCTTTCCACTTTGTCCCCTGACCACTCAGCAAGTATTAAAGAGGTTTCAAAGGTTGAGAGTTCAATTCATTCTCCTTCTGCTAATTCAAGATACAGCCTCAGGGAAAAAAAAAAATTAGGGGGTGGAGATAACAAAAGGATTTGTAAAAAAAAGAACAGATGAGGCAGGGAATATATAGCAAAAAACTCCACGGGAGAGGATGAGTCATGGGAAACGAAATAATTTTGAATTGCCTCTGGCCATTCCTGACAAGATTAGAAAGCACGGAGCACAGATTCAATGGATTCATTTTTAAATGATCTGATTTGAAGACTTCTCAAATTCCAACATCAAGGTATAAAACAAGTAATCTTTCAGCTTCTCAAATGTGAGTTCTTTCAGTAATGTTTGTGTTTTTAATTAAATGGTGTAGATTACTATGAGATAAACCATCAATGTGATGAATTGAAGGTCTCCTGCCCAAACCAGTATGAAGTGGCTTTAGTAGGGTAAGCGTTAGCCACCTCCGTTTATGAACTAAGAAGCTACTGGGATAAATAATATCCCAAAAGTATTCTTGGGATATAGTGCTACTAAGCACACCAAATTGGAAAGGAGAGGTTGTTGAAGATTAATATTTCTATTTCTTTAGTGCTTGGAGTTTACCAGTGGCTTATGATCATTAATGATACAAGCTAAGAAAGGAACCTCCCCTCTTTGATCAGGACCATTTAGTCATAATATATGGCTCTCTTCAGAGTGGGATCTTTTTGTAAATTAAACCCTAAGTGGGTCAAAGTGCCATATGACTAACATTGAACATGAGAGAGAGAAGAAGTCTTGGTATAATATGTTGAGAAAAATCTACAGAAATGATATAGAACTGTTAAATTTTGAACACAGAATTCTTTCTTTATTCATAACTATTCTACATTTTTTGTGTCTTTTGTTCTTCTCTCTTTATTTGCTTTTAAATAGCGCTTTACAGTTTACACACTATTTTATGCTCAATATGTGATTTCCCCCTCCTCCTCATTAAATACTTTGGGTAGATGAAGCCATTACTTTTTTCCTATTTAAAAAATTAGGAAACTAAAGTTCAGAAGAGTAACTTACCTGAGGTCCAAGATAAGACACTCAATCTATTCATGGACAATCGGGGTATCAAAGGTTTTCATTGAGAACTTATCCTGGGACACTACATATCTTTTTTGCTGATGCCTCAGCTTTTTTTGCCTGAGGTAAATAGGAGACCTTTGATCAGGGCAGTGTCCACATCTTCTTGAGTTGGTGTCATAACTATGCCTTATAGAGACCCACCTTGATGCTGACACTTAACATCCATCCTCCCACCCTCAACATTTGTCACCCCCTTCCCAGGGTCCTCTGCTTGGTCATTTTCCAAGACTTTAATATAGCTGTGTTTCCAATATCTGAGTGACTGTTTACTGTCGTTTGGCATGCTTAAGATAGGAAGAAATTGATCCTTTTACCCAGGGGAGGGGTGGGTAAGAGGGTCGTTTTCTTAAGAATATGGATTTAGGAAAAGAAAGGCTGTGTGAGGCTGACACCTATTGTACAAAGAGGGATATGGCATGGAAACATGCCGCTAGGCTAATAGTTGAACAAGAACACTGTCATGTTCTAATACTTTTTGAAACAACAGGTAAGAAATATCTGTTAATGCTGAGGAATAGAGCCCAAACCTCATTCACTCCATTCTTTTTTTTATTGAGGTATTGTTGATATACAATCTTATATTGGTTTCAAGTATACAACAGTTACCCATACTATTAAATACTCACCCCCACTAGTGCAGTTAATCATTTACTCCATTCTTGATTTTTTTTTTCTGGATCCAGTAGACAAGCAACTTATTCTTGTTCTTCGTAATAGAGCTATGAAGTCTGAGGTCGTTAACAGGGGAGCCAGATTTCTTCCTGAAGGAAACTCACAACCCATGTTCCCACTCTACTGTCCTCCTTGCACCTATATGTCCAGAGTCAGAGGAAGCCCTGATTTCATTTAAGCCAGCTTTCTTCTAGAGTCTCAGTGACTTGCCTACAGTTAACTAGTGGCTTCCTGAGCTAGTGGTGCATCAAAGCAGATGAAAATTAGTGAGCAAAAAGGAAGGAAATAAAAAAGAAAGGCCAAGACAAGTCAGAAAGAAAGGAAGATGAGATCAAGAGATGCAGTAAGTCAATAGGCCCTTTGCAGTGTATGCTGTTTGCCTTTTGGACATATTCATAAGTTCAAAGAAAGTTGTATCTTTTAGGGTTTATGCAGACCTGACAATTTGTATGGAACAGACCCTGTTTTGTTATGATGGTCAATTAATTCATGCTTTTCTGGAGATAGTGATGTATCCTTGCTCTGACACTAGAGACAAAAATTTCAGCAGATTACTATTCTGTCTGCTGCACTTGGCTGGATTCCATGGAGCCAGCACAGCACTAGTGGGAAAAGATTAAGATGCATTCCCTGAGGCAGGCTGTGTATCCTTAACATCTTAGCTGGGCCCAGTCTGTCACAGGGCCTTGGTATTCTTTCTAAGGATTTAGGTGTCTCCAGTTCTGAGTGCTTAGACATGGAAACTTTCATTGCTTAATTGGTTTTCACTAATGATTTATGTTTACTAAAGATGAAGGTTTGTGTCTTTTAGGATATGGAAGATAATTTCCTTGAGGCCAGAGATTTGTTTTATTCACTGCTGTAACCCCAATACCTAAAATGGTGCCTGGCACTCAATAAATATGATGACTGACTGACTGAATGAATAGATTGTGATGTACATTAATACATAATAAACATATTTGTTAAATAATAACAGGTGATGCAATCCCTATCAAAATATGAACATTTTTAAATGAATGAACTAGAAAAATAAAATTCATATGGAACCACAAAAGACCTCGATTAGTAAAGTAATCCTAAGAAAGAAGAACAAAGCTGGGGGATTATGCTCCCTGATTTCAAGCTCTACTATCTACTCTAGTAATCAAAATAGTTTGGTACTAGCACAAGAACAGGCCCATAGATCAATGGAACAGAATAGAAAGCCCAGACACAAACCCACACATATATGGTCAATTAATATACAATAGAGGAGCCATTAATATTCAATGGAGAAAAGACAGCCTCTTCAACAACTGATGTTGGGAAAACTGGACAGCTACATGTAAGAGAATGAAACTGGGTTATTGTCTAACTCCATACACAAAAGTAAACTCAAAGTGGCTTAAAGATCTGAAGGTAAGTCAATAACTCATAAAGCTCTTAAAAGAAAACAGGCAAAAATGTCTTGAACATAAGTATGAGCAACTTTTTTCCTGGACACATCTCCTCAGGCAAGGGAAACAAAATAAAAAGTGAACAAGTTGGACTACATCAACCAAAAAGCTTCTGCACAACAAAGGACACCATCAGCAGAACAAAAGGCACCCGATAGTATGGGAAACTATATTTGTAAATGACTCATCTGGTAAGGGGTTAATGTCAAAAATATATAAAGAACTCATATACCTCAACACCCAAAAAACAAATAATCTGATTAATAAATGGGCAGAGGACCTGAACAGACACTTCTGCAAAGAAGAAATATAAATGGCCAACAGGCAAATGAAAAGATGCTTCACATCAAGGGAAATGCAAACTAAAACCACAATGAGATGTTACTTCTTACCAGTTAGTATGGTCACTATCCAAAAGACAAGAAATAACAAATGTTGGGAGGATGCAGAGAAATGGAAACCCTCCTACACTGTTGGTAGGAATGTAAATTGGTGTAACCACTGTGGAAAGCAGTATGGAGGTTCCTCAAAAAACTAAAAATATAAATACCATTTGATCCAGTAATTCTAC